AATATTATATTATTTATACATTCATGTTGAAGGAAACATGAATAATCTCTTTCTAAAACTGAGTCATCCGGCATACAAAGATGACTAGACAGAAAAACATACAAAGATAAAAAAAAAGTTGTAAAGAACACATAAAAGAAAAGTTCTGTACTTTACAAACAGACACTGATATCAGCTGCAAATGTTTTAAATGCAGAGGAGGGGATAAAAAATTTGGTTCTTCACTAGCAAAGATGCAAGATTTAAGTGAAACAAAACCCTGCCACTAGTTAAAAAAAAACGAGAAAGTGAAAGGAATCAACTGAGAACAGGGACAACATGAAAGCTGGATAAATAAAGGATTATTTCCTTAGAGCTGAATGAAGGAGGAGCAGAATAGGAGGAGGACAGAAGCCTTACAGAGTTTGGAAAAGATCCTTCTTTTGATAGGATTAATGTACAGCCCAAACCTGCAGTGACAGATATGTTTCGGGACAACACTATAAAAATTAAATACTATGAAGAGGAAGCACTACAGAATGGAACTTTAAGGTCAGCAGCATACTGCAATGCTCTCTAAACTTGAATTGAACAATCTGAATAGGGGTTCCCTTAATGACAAATGGGAAATTCAAGACAAAACCAACGATGCAGCACAATGCAGACTTACCCCCTCCAGCAGGTTAGCAGGAGCACTGCATGCTCCTTTCAGCACGCGTTGAAGGAACTCCTCCTGGTCAGGTATCTTATCCTTGATACCTAAGTGAAAAGTAAAGAAAGACAGTGAGTCTTCCTGCCACTTAAAAGATTATTCAGACAACAAGGCTTTACCACACTCTTGAACTGCCTAATTCACAAGAATCTGCCTCACGCTCACCAGTAACACGTTAAAAGGAGAAACAAAACAACAAAATCTTCATAGGAAATGACAAAGCAGTAGAATTTGGTGGGTGATGATTAAGATAACGACAAGCCTCTGTAAAAGTAAGTCCAGTTCTGAAATGGAGCTAACTGCTCTCTGGAGAAAGAGCAATCTCCTAATGTAATGAGATTTCAGAAAAACATGGCAGACAACCTCACCCTGTCACCACAGCAACGCCACTTGCGCAGAACAGCGATTATGAAGACTACCTGCCAGGCTCACAAACGACAAAAGAATGCTTTTGTGTATACTCCCCACTTCCTCACACACAGACAATACCTTCAGGCACTTTGAGAATCTTCTTGTTCTGCTCACACCAGCCGATGGGGTGTAAATCAGCTGTCATGATATCACACCAGAAGTCAGCCTTGCGGTCTTCCCCATAACCATCGTAGCGCAACAGGAGCAGCTGCCCACAAGTAGTAATGATGGTGGCTACCCAGTAGGTGTTTTGGTCAGACTTGACAGCAACTTCCAGCTTCATACCAGGGGCAAAGCCATTCTGCAAACTTGTATCCACCTGAAGAGGAAGAACATGGTCACATTTAAGCACCTCCCAGAAACTTTGTAGAACAACAGGAGGAGCAATTTAGACATGTTCGTTAGCAAAAAAACCCTCAAGCCAAATGCCAACCAGTCTCTTCAGAGAAACAACTTCATCATGTTATGTGACCCAAACTGGAATGCACACAGAATTATCATTAATGAAATCTCCTTTGCATTTCAGAGTATCTTTTCAACCTTCAATCAATACCTTGCAATTCATCTCCCTGCCCTGGGCAACACGTCACCCACCACTGAAAGGCTCCCCAGTTCATAGCTGGGCAAAACTAAAGGTCAAACTCAACACCACAACTTTGACTTTTTGTGTTAAACTACATCTTTCAACCTCTTTGGGCAATGAGCCTGTTTTAAGTACATACATGAGCGTTGGATAATGGTATGACTGTCTTCTGCCATGCTCATTTAAGAAGCCACAAATCTGCACAAATTACAGAATAAAGATATTTAATGGCTCTATCCAAGAATCAAAATGATTCTTTACGTAGCATTGTTACATAAATTGCATGGAACATAAACAGTATGCGTTCTTCAGTGAACTCATGCTTTGACAACAATAAAGCACCAAACACTCCACGTGCTCTGTGTTTATGTGTGTGTGTTGTGTGCAGGTGAGGAATCTGACTGCACAGTACTCAGACTCTGAAGCATGAACATAAAAAGAGAAGGCAAAACATTAAGATTCTCATATCCATAACTTCTAGTTCAAGCACTCCTGAAAGCAGAAGGACCCTGTTCTGCTCTCACCATAGTATGTTTCTTATCTATGCTTAATTCTCTAGCCCCAGTCTTAATTAAAAATCTAACATGTCATTCCTCTGTTCTCAGCTGAATGTAACTAACTGGTATTTTCTTTCTTAAGTGGTCCCAAGTTAAATTTCCTCTTTGAATCAACTGCAAGAAAAGTCTTTCAGTACCATGCAGATGCAGTAGATATTTTCTGGTTTATTTATTACCAGTTCTGCACTGACAGTTCAGTAACTGCCATAGCTATTATAGTCTCATCAGCCAGCACATACTGGTTTGCTAAAAATAAAACTAGAACCACATCAGAAAGAAAAGAATATGCCTCTGTTAACTGTTCACATCCTTTTCGGTAACACCCTTCACTTCATGAAACCCCTTCTTAAAACCAAAATCAGAGGAGCCAGTACCTGCAGGTGTTTTGAAATGATATTACAGAGATCATCTCTTCAAAAAGACAAGTCGTCTTGCTGAAGAGATATTCCTTAAGACTTCTGATTCCTGAGAGAAAAAGCCATGAGCTTGACACAAAGTCTGAGAAATTGGGCAATCTGTGCAGCTCTATACCTGAACTTCAGCACAGCCTCACGATGGAGAGCACTGCACTGAGCCAAACCAAAAGCCACAGGTAGAACTTTCCCTGAAATCAGGTGCTTTTTCCTAACACTGTCATTTGTGTTCCCCGGTGGATAAAGCACAGACCAAGAAGGTAGCACCCTCTTCTGGCAGCTGCGCAAGACGACACCACTGCTTGGTTTAAAGCACAAAACCTTGTTTCGAGAGGCTGGCTCCCTGAGCAGACTGGCTAACAGGGGATGCTGAGTATTTTCTTTGGAGCAGTGGGTAAAAGAGCAGCAGGTTCCTGCTTGCACACAGGGCAAACTGAGATGGCCAAGAGCAGTCAGAGACCGCCCTGCCCAGGCAGCTCCAAGTCCAGCACCTCCTTCCCATCGAGTAGGATCTACCCACTTTGTACCATGCACAGGTCAGACCTGGGATCTGACCCCGCTCAGGAGGAGAGAATGAGAAAGAACAGGCAAAAAGTATTAAGAGCCTGCAAGTCACAGCAAATATGTGTGTTCAGATGATGTTGAACACTAACTTATTTTTAATATATGTTTACACACATATATAAACAGCAGAAAGGAATTTAAAAAGAGCGTTCACCAGTTCTAGTGTATTTAGACTTGGGGGAGGGGATGACAACCTTGGCTCCAGCGGAACTCCAGGTTTTTGTTAAGCCCTCTTTCCTGCCCAACTGTAAGCAAATCAGTCATTTTGATCTAAATATGGTTTCATTTTTAAAGTGCAAACAAACTGAACCCTAGAATATGCTTACTTTGAGGAAGTATCTTACATTTTCCAATGCTCCTTGCTCATACTAAGCACAAAACTTTCAGAATGAATATAAGCATACAAATAGGAAAAAAAGTCCTCTCCCCACTCAGTAAGTCTGGTTCTTTGCTAACACAGGCTGTGTAACCATGGATTACATTTTTTTAAAGTTTATTTTGTACTCTCCTACAGCGTGGCTCAAGTATTTCTCACCCACCACTCCTAAAGGGAAGCTGGTCACAGACACACTACTCCAATATTTAATGAACTCAAACAAAAGCCTTAAGCTTCTGTCTAAAATTTATTTTTATTTATCTGTACATGTTCATTTATTCTTGTGCCAGTACTATTCTCCAGCTTAGTTTCTTACACTCTTTTTTGAGAGTGCAAAAGTAGTTCCCTCTTAGCTCTCCTGACGGTAGCTGGCACCACACCAATTCCAGCTGGAGGGACCAGAAGTCACCAGCACCATCAGCACCTGGATGCTCTCCAGTGAAAATCCCTCTGGTGTATCCTGGAACCACACATTTTTTTAGGGCTTTGTTACATAGTCAGGCTGTCACTATCCACTGGGAGGCAGTGAGGTTCTCCTCCTCTACCTTTTCCAACCCATTACCTTGTAACGGACAGTGGAAATCCTGAGCATGAGAACTTGCACTACTGCATTTCTATTAACAGCAAGATCCAGGTGATGCGATGCTGCTCTAAATATGCTCCTCTCTCTGCTTGTCAATTCAGTTTCAGCATTAACTTTCCAAAATTTTATGCCAAGCTTGTTACAAAGGACACGAAAATTGGCCTCCAGACAATTTCTAAGGGAAATCTGCTAGCAACTGCCTGATTGTTCCCCTTCTGAACATGCAGGCATCTATATTCCTGCTCATTCCTGACGTCCTGCATGGTGCTCCCGGCACCTCGCATGCCTAGGCCAGCTCCCCGTGGCCAGCCAAGCTCCCCAAGGTACAACTCCCCCAATACACTGCCCAGGAGAGGGCACCCAACACACCACTAAAGGACTGGACAACAAGGGTAGGCTTTGCCCACACCTGCTCACTGAAGCCTTTTCCACAACGACGTTACTTGCACCAGCACAACTGCACCATGTTCTACATACGTAAGGAATAATTAAAATAAAAAATATGGATTTTTTTAACTGATTGCATTTTTACTGACCATGGCCACAGCAATCAGACCTCTTGTTTGACCCAGTTGAGTTGGCAAAGAACGCAGTCCAAGGGTGACAAAGTCAATCAAAGTGTGTCTCCTGCTGATTAGCAACATACAGCTGCAATGTTAATTCAGTTGGCCAACACTGTAGAGCTGGCATTACAATTTGTTTGTATAATACCTAAGCAATGCTATCTTCTTTAACAGAGACCAAGTAAGGGAAACCACACCAGAAGATAGACTACTCCTTGCACTACTGCAAAATGCCATTGCTCTGATTCCATACTGCTTCCTCCATGTGGGCTGCATGGACACAACCACTCCAAGAAAGCTTGCTCTTGCTAGACACTTAGTACACTAAGGAAAAGCAAAGCAAGAATAGGTCTCTCCCCTCCAGAAATGAGATACCTCAATGTTCATTTTGAAGAAAAAGATTACAATTACATCCTGGTGTATGGAAGAGCCTCTGCAAAGCTACATTTACTGTGCATCTTTACTAACACAACTGCTGTATTTTAATAGATTTTGTAATGTGTTGTACTTTTGCAGCTTGCCTTTGGACTCAAAATGCTTCATGATCCTCCATGAACACAACTCAGTTTGTTTCCCTGCTGATCTAAGCCTCCTGTACTCTAAGTGGTGATAATGGACCCAAAAGCCTGAGCACCACGGAGTGCTTTCCAAGCAATGGGTGACGCACAAGTCACTACCCTCACTGCCATGGTAAAAGACCCACAGCCAGTTGAAAGACTATTAAATAATAACTGTAATGAAGAGTTGGATAAGGATACAACTTATCCAGCTGGCAGTCTGGAAGGTGTTTCAGTTGTTGGAAGTAGTCCAAGAAGTTTGGAAAGCAGCCCTACACAGTTCACCTTCACTGATGACCCAGTACAAGAAGGCAGACTTCACATTCAGATCTCACCCCATGGGACAGTGCACTCCAGGATTTTACCAACAAACATTTGATTAAACATATCCAAGGGTAAAGACAAGGGCTGATCAAGAATTCATCCTACCGTTAAGCCTGTGATTGACAATTATCCTAATCAGCTTTCCAACTACTACAGTCAAGTGTTTGGCAGAGCTATTATTTTCTCCTTGGCCTCCTTGAGAGCCACCACTAAAATATTCTTCGAGAGCACATTCAAATTCTGCTATTCAAGAACTACGCCACCAGCTTTCTAAAGCCAGCTCCTCCACAGCAGTTGTCCAGCAGCCATCACCAAAAGAAGAAAGAGACTAGACAGTTTAGGCCTCATGACAAAAATCAAGCTTATCTTCTGGTGCAGACAAACTAGGAGCCCCCTAACTTTCAGCACTTGTGGATGGGATTAGCCTGTGCTATATACAGAGAAGAAAATGAGAAACAATAATAGAGAGGTGAAATTCCTCATTTCTCTTTATTCTAAGAAACTCATTTAAAGAAAACCTAAACATCCAGTGTATCAAAAAAACCCAATACAAGAGATGGCAAGTAAGCAAACACTCCCTTACTTACATGTTTAAAAGATCCATGGGGGGCTGCAATTGCTCCTGTGTCTTCTAGATACTCATCCCAATTGAATTCCATTTCTTCCACACTGGAACCAGCATCTGGAAGAGAAGCCACATCCCTCCTATTTAGCAACCTGCTGACTTAAGTTTTAGGCTACTACAAAACCTGCTTCAATTCCAAAGGACTGAGCACACAAGTGTGCAGTGAACTTCAGTTATACATTTCAACACACAGACAACACTCTAGGCTTTCTTTGCATGTGATGGGCACTTTAATTTGGACCTGGTCTGAAAAACAGTAAGAGCCTGAGGATTCTGGCTAAGCAAAATAATTTTCAATTTGTGAGAGGAGAACATAGACAGCAGAGCTCTGTGTATCAACAAAGACAAGAAACTCAAAACTCTGGGGCACACTGAACTGTCAGTGCATTGAACTAAAAACCATCCAGGAACCAGCAATACCAGTAATAAGAAGGTTGAAAAGACAGACTAAAAATATTTGAAATACTCCTCTCTTCTTTTTTAAGTTAGATAGTATTTATTTGTTATAAAACACCAAAAGCACAGAGAATGATTCACGGTAGTTCTGAAGAAAACAGCTCAATACACGACTGAAATCAAGAACACTTAAAAAAACAGCTCATGAGGTGTAACAGCTTCTTTAGACCAGGAAAAATCTCATTTCTGGATGCATTTAAAGCAAAAATGTGCTAAAACCACTCAAGCCACAGTTCAAACCTCACTCAGGCTGTTAGGGAAGCAAGCAGCAGTAGTGAGCCACACTACAAATTACTCACATTTTCTATTATTATTATCAAGCCTGTCCTCCAGCACAGCTCTCCCCTTCAGTTCCTGGCTCACTTCCCTGCTTCCTTCCCATTCCTGTTTACTCTAACGCGTAACCCGCTCTGCCGAAAAGACACCACAACCAGCACAGTTGGATTTCAGGTCCCCTATTTAGTTCAGCACTCAGCGCATTGTACTTTTCCTGAAGGCACAGTCTGGGATGCCCAGGGAGGGTCCCACCTCATGTGAGTGCCATTTTTAACCTCAACAAACAAACAACAGCTCCAGGTTCAGCCGCAAAATTTCAGCAGCAAAATGGGATGGCAGCGACATGACACTTTTCTTTAAGTAAATCTTTTCTTTTTCCCTTTTAGAACAATTCTACCACCTGCACTATAGTTGTCTTCATGGAAGAACACAAGAGATTTCCATCTCTCAGTACCAGAAAACTTGAAACCTTGTTTATATTTGAAAACAGAAATCTCTGCGTATCACAAGCATTGGGGGAGCTCAGCAAAGACTAAAGGATACTAACACTTCCAACACACTCAGCCTTTCTCAGGACAGGTGGTAACTGTCCTTTCAAAAGGTAGTAGCTTGAGTATGAAACATGCCATGTCCAAAAAGAGAGAATGAAGTACTATTACATGCCCTTATCACCATGGACATGCTGACAACCTGCTGAGTATGCTCCTCAATAGCTCTTACTCCTCAAATAGAGAGGGGCAAATGTTTGCCCAAAAGTCTGAGCTACATTACATCATCTGAAAAAACCTACAAGTCTTGAGTGTAAAGTACGTTTATTTTATCTTCAAGCTGATTGTTAAGCTCATTTTTCATTGTTAAGCTCATAATTCATTGTAATGCTATGAATTATCATTTCCCAAAAATTAGAATTGTATGTTCAGTTATCCTCTGTTTGCTGATGACAGTACCTGTTTTAAAGGAAGCTCTTATCTCTCCTAAACCCAATCTCATTTTGCTATTTTTAACAACCACAGTTGGTTATATTGGCCTTTCATCAGTCTCAGAGCTCACAAAATTCAGAGCTTGAATACCACCATCACTTTTAGGGGATAATTTTAAACTTACTGAAGGAATAACCTGGAAAAGGACAGAAATAAGTAATTTAAAAAACCCTAAAAACCTCTCAGAGAGTAGAGCTGTTAAAGCACACACCATAACTGTCTGCAAATCAGGGTGGAGCTGATCAAAGCTTTGGCTGCAAGTCATTCTATGAAAAATAATTTCATTGCAAATGTTGTTAGAACAGATTAAGATTTCTTAAGTCATTAAACCAGCAATTTACTTTAATATCGCCACAAAACACTTAAGTTCACTGCTCTAGAGCCAAAGTGGGATGAAACATCAGCTGGAACACATCACCTACGGTGAGTCAAAACCAAGAGTCAACTTCGGTTTTTCTCCCAGCTAGAGAAAGCCAGCTCACCCTGTCCCACCAAACAGCACCGAGCTGCTCAATAGCAGCAACAACCCCGCTTCTGTTCAACTCCAGAAAGCACTTTGTATGTAAAAAATACTGATTGTGATGTCTAATCCATTCCTGTCTGAAGAGAAACACAGAGCAACGTGAATGCTCTGTGCTTTTTAACAGGTTTGGAAGCCAAGTGGTGCTACAAGGACCTTGAGGCTTCCCAGCTGTGCTCTTTACCAAGCCGATGGATAAGGTGTTACCATCAGATAACTGTAAAGGGCACGTAAGCTCCTTAAATGAGGCACAGGTCACTTAACACACTGAAAGGTTCAATTAGTAACTTACGCTGCCACTTAATTGCTACAAGGAGCTTCTGAGAAAGCCAGTTTGCATGCTGCTCCAGCTACCCTTCACTTCTAACTATGTTTAAAACCAGTTCCCATCTGGAACAAAGCTACCAAAGGTCCTTTGTCATTCCACTCATCCGTGGTCTCTGCTGTTTCCTTCCAGGTCTGCGTTGCAGTGAGAAGGGCCAAGACTGCTTTGCACTGTACAGTGCCCAAATCTCACCAGTACACCCAGAGCTCTCTTGTGACTCATTTTTCATAGGCAAAAATAATTTTTGTGAAATCTTCCTTCTTTATTTTGGGGAGTTTCATTGAGTTAAAAGGACTTTTTAAAAAACTTTTGTAAAGAGCACCCAGACCTTCTGCTGTTCCATTCATCTATAGGAGCTCGTCCCAGCTCACATTTACACTTCACTAAGGTTTTATAATCAAAGAAGACCAGGTGATTATCCTCGCAGTTCAACCACTGAGCACACTGAGCTGGGGAGTTCAGGTGGCTTCCTCCCTTTAGGAAGCTGACACAACTGAGCGCCATGCTTCACTATAGTCTATAACAAAGCTGTGCTGCGTCTCATACACGGCCCTGCCACAGCACCCCTGGTTGTTTAGCGCAGCACTTACCAAATCAATGTGGAACATGAAAAGCTCATTGAATAAAGCTTCAAGCAAAAGTGCTGTACGAGCCTTCAGAATGAGCGCAGAACATTAGTTTTTTTAACTGTGGCATGCAGTAGGACTACATAACCCATGAAGCATCTCAGAAATCACGTATCTGGTTTTTGACATCTGAAGGCAGAAACACCCCCGGACTGCGGTGAAGGACTATCTCTCTGGCAAGGCTCTCACTACCTAGAAATCTTTGACAGTCAGAATCCAGTTGCTCTTCTGGTTCTATTGGCAGGACAGTTGCAGCAAAGCAGGCCCTGTTTGAATCAAGCCTTTGCTGTAGTCTGTTGGTATTTTTTGCAAGCTCCTATGGCACAGCCCCATCCTTGCAGGTTAGTGGATCCAGGATACACAGAGGACTGGTTTAATGAAGCTGCATTCCTGAGGGTCCATATGTCTGTACTAAATGTCCTGACCAGTCTGATCTCAAACTACTCAATAAAACCTCAGATATTTACACCAGAGAGTCTCATTACTGTGAGAAAACTTGCAAATTAATATCACAGATGACAACAAGCAAAACCACAATTCATTTAATCCTAAACCACAAGCCATTAATCTAATGCTCCACAGGTGTACCTATACCTATGTTCTCTCTTTCTCCCCGTATCCTTAATTGTTACAAGTCCTAAGTGAATCCAGCTTTCTAACTACCGAGACATATTTTCCCATATTAGACAGGATGACTGAGCCACACATTAGCTCAGTCATCACACATTAGACAAAGCACAACTTTGGCAAAGGTGGGGAAAGAAACCAGATGTGATTCTCATCTCTGTGGCCTCGCCATACCACTGGTTTTTCTCAGTACAGCTTTCAAATCAAGTTAACATTTTCGCAAGTAAAATCGAGAAGTGTCCTGCAGAGGTTCTGTGGAGAACACTTATCCACTCTGGAGGTGAGAAAATTGCCTGTAAGAATATTAGAAGTTTCCCAAGTAGGTAAATCGTTTCCCATTTATCACTATTTCTACTAGCATTAGTGTGAACATTAACTCTTCCTTTCTGAATTTTACCATTAATTATGTCCTGCTGCTCTCTGACACTTACAGGAAGAGGAAGAATACTGAACTGTACTGTTAGACATGAGAAAACAGTGAAATAATAAGTACATCAGCCCTTAAAAATACCTGCAATGGATTCTGATCTTCGGATTCAAGTTAAATTCTCACTGCAAATAATTTTCATGCATCTTTAATGCGACTTAGTTGAAAACTGTCATACTGGACATTTAAGTACATCATATTGAAGTCTGCAAGACCGTCAATTAAGGCTAACCTAAAGGTTTCTCACCCTGAAACTTAGATATATTTCAATCTGATTTTAATAATAGTTAATCTTTTCCATCTATACCAGCTGCAAGGCCATGAATAAATAAAGACAGGTTGGAATTCCACCACCTGAGGAAGACTGTGACAAGAATGAATGTTGTCTTTTCCTCTTGTAGTGCAGGAGAGCAACCCAAGCAGCAACCCACACCACTGTCTGGGTTCTTGTTGGCTGAGAGCCTGTACGTAAAATCCAAAAAAGACAGAGGATAATCTCCCAAAACTGCTAAAAACCATCAAGTGGAAAAAATTACACCAGTCAAAGAATATGAAGGGAATGTTCCAGTAGTGGTTGGGATTGGTCTAACAGAAAGCACTTCAGGAAACAATATTAAGAAGGCACAACAAAATCAATGTGCTTATGGGATAGCATTTGCTTTGAACTCAGTAAGTAAAGTTCTCTTCAATTACTGTTTGCTTTTCACAGCCACCTGTACTCAAACCAGGCACAAAAAGGATGCTTAGGAAAATAGCCGTTGAGTAATTTTGAGACAGTATCAAACCCTGCCTAGTTATTCCAAAAGCACAGAGAGGACTG